TGTGTGTGTGTGTGTTGTGTGTGTGTGTGTGTGTGTGTGTGTGTGTGTGTGTGTGTGTGTGTTGAACTTGTTTTTAAACATTTGGATGATTGTCATACTGCTGTAAATAATCTCTGTATCTGCATATCTGACTTCCAAAGTTACTTTTTATTTATTTGCCTTGCGTCTTAAAATACAAGTTTAATAGATCAAATATTTAGACTGCTGACCAAAATAATGTGTGTACCAGGTTACAAATCCAAATGGTATTTAACCCTGTAGAAATAAATTTAATTTAATTAGGTTTTGATTTACCACTTTATTGCTTTTTTTAATTTATTTCTTGTCAACATGTTTTTCACTTGGGCTGTTTGTTTGTGGTGCTGGTTTGTTTTTGTTTATTAGCAAATTCAACATCCGACGGCGTCACTGATTGCTAAAGTTGCAACGGCGCAGGATGACATCACGGGAGACGGAACGACCTCCAACGTCCTCATCATCGGCGAACTGTTGAAGCAAGCTGACCTCTATGTGTCAGAGGTAGGAATTCAGTCAGAAGTTCGATCAGCTGTTTGTGTAATCCTTCTACAGAAGTGGTGTGAATTTTGAATTAATTTATTCTGGCATGTCTCTTCAAATGCCTAAAAGGGTTTTCTGGATACATTTCCTTCCCTAATTTGTTTTGGTTTTGTGCTGCAGGGCCTTCATCCAAGAATTGTTGCTGAGGGCTTTGAGGTAGCAAAGGATAAAGCTTTGGCTGTTCTTGAGGAAGTGAAGGTGACTCAGGAAATGGACAGAGAGACACTCATCAACGTTGCTCGCACTTCCCTCAGGACCAAGGTCCACACAGAGCTGGCAGACCTGCTCACTGAGGTTAGTAAGCAGGTTTTTACTCTGGTTTGGCAAAGTTTTGGTGGTGCAAATGTAGAACCAGGGTTTTGTAGCTGCCATTGGTACGTTGCATTCAAAACATAACTCATTCTGAGTTGAACCTTGTGGGACCTACCTGAGTGAAAACAATCTGTCTTTTAGTGTGGTAGTTTGAATCTTTAAATCTGAGCTTAAACACTGGTGGGCTTTAGTTTCTGAATCTTAAATCATCCTGCTTTTCCTATCTACAGGCTGTAGTAGATGCTGTGCTTGCTATCTCTAAACCCAATGAGGCAATCGACCTGTACATGGTGGAAATCATGGAGATGAAGCACAAGACTGACAGCGACACACAGTGAGTTTTAAGAAGACATTAAATAAGTGTGATTTCAGTTTCTTACAGGAAGTCTAAAAACTTCTGCTTTTCTCAGGCTGATCAGAGGTTTGGTGATGGATCACGGTGCTCGACACCCAGACATGAAGAAGAGAGTGGAGAATGCCTACGTGCTGACATGCAACGTCTCACTGGAGTACGAGAAGACAGAGGTCAACTCTGGCTTCTTTTACAAGAGCGCAGAGGAGAGGGAGAAGCTTGTTGCTGCAGAGAGGAAGTTCATTGAGGATCGTGTGCAGAAGATCATCGCCCTGAAGAAGAAAGTCTGTCCCAGTGATGAAAAAGGTTTTGTCGTCATTAACCAGAAGGTATGATCGAAGCGAGCATAATACTGTGTTGGAACAGTTTCCATTTCACATTAATTTGTGCAGACTTTCAGATTACAGTGTGCTCAGTTGTGATATTACCATAATCAGTCACATTGAAGTGCACAGTGAACACCCAAGGATGCTGATGTGTCTCTCCTTGGTCTCCTCTATCTGTGCCACAGTAACTCTGATCTGTACCTCTGCATTAGGAGAGCCTGCTCCTCTCCTACATGTATTCAACAGATCAGAATAATTCTTGCGTCCATCAGCACACACAACATTGTACAAAACAACAATTGACTAAACTCAAACATGTTTATCTGTGTTGCTCAGGGCATTGACCCATTCTCCCTGGATGCTCTTGCTAAAGAAGGCATTGTTGCCCTACGCAGAGCAAAGAGGAGGAACATGGAGAGGTAAGAAGCTCATTTTTTAAATTATAACATATTATAACACTCATTTTTGATCCTGCTTATCCACTGGAGAAGTTTCAGATTTTTGGATGAGGTACTTTACAGAAACAAAGTTTCATTATTGTCAGTAATAACAGCAAATGCCATTGGGATAGGTAATATGGCTGGGCCACATCATATCATTCACGATAATACCGGTAAAAAGAACTTTCTCGAAAATAAATTATATCATGATATGCTAATTTCATGGTGTAAATACATCAGTGTTTCCCCTACTATTATACAATCAGGGTGCCCCGCCCTGTTAACAGAACCAAGCGCGCCGCCAACCGAACTGCCCCACCCTCCTGTTGGTACTGGCGTAACGCTAAGCTAAACATGCTCAATACTAGCTAGCTAAAAAGCTAAAGGCATCGCTCACGCTGCCTCTTCCCTTATGCTGAAACCCCCCACCCTCGCTCTAAAACTGTTGGTACAAGCAGTGCGCAGCTCAGCTGTGTCCCCTCCTTAGGTTATCTATCCTCAGGTTAGCTGTTTGGCAAAAACAAAAAACGTGTGCATCCAAGCCACTAGTGCAGCCTCTGAAAGGTTGTTCAGCACAGGAGGGAACTTTGTTCCATGTAATGGGTCTGAAGCTTCAGTGAATAGACTTTTGTTCTCCAAGAAGAATCTGAAACTTGATAAATGATAACCAGCTATGTTCTGATCAGCAATCCTTTCAGGCAGCGTTTTCATTTGTTTTCAACATTTGTCACAAGTTTTGGAAGTTCATTTAACGTCAACATATTTTTTGTTGTACGTTACATTTATGTTCGTCTGATCTTAAGCTTTCATTTTATTTAGTTATTTTGGGAAACTGCACCTGCACTTTAGTTTTTGTGGATTTTGTTCTATATTTTGTGCAGACTCTTTCAATCTAAATAACAGAAAGATCAGTTTTATTTTTTATTTTTATATTTTGGGACTGAATACTTTACTAAATAAATTAATTGCAGTAAAATTAACCCTTGTTTTTTTTTTTAGTTTTTATATACTGGTAATACTGCAAAGCAACATGTTAAGTTAATTTTGTCAAATAAATAACTATGATTTCTGTTTTTTTATTTATTTTTGTATCACAAAATTTATCGTTATTGTCAGAATGCTCTGAAATATCACAACATTATGTTTGAGCCATATCGCCCACCCCTAATAGGTAACACACAGTTTTTGCCAAACGAGACAAACTTGTGATGTTGATGCTACTTAATGTTCATAGAGGCTCTTGTTTAGGAGACCAGCATTCCTAAATGTTTTGCTGTCTGCATGTTAAATACAGTGTCATTTATTTGTTTGTTTGTTTTGTTTGCAGGCTTACCCTTGCTTGTGGTGGTATCGCCATGAATTCAGTTGATGACCTCACACCTGAGTGCCTGGGGCATGCTGGGTTGATATATGAACACACACTGGTGTGTATAGCAAAATGTGTAACAAACTGTCTTAAGAGCCCAGAGTCTGTCTATATTTAAGGTTGCTGAAGCAGAGTTGTTGAATGCTGTTTGCAGGGGGAAGAGAAGTACACATTCATTGAGAAGTGTGAGAACCCTCGCTCTGTTACCCTGCTGGTTAAGGGCCCCAACAAACACACCCTCACACAGATCAAAGATGCTGTAAGGGATGGTCTTCGGGCAGTGAAGAACGCTATCGAAGATGGTAAAGAACCTATATTCATACCTTGTTCTTGAGTAATTTTGTTTTCTGTTCAGTGACAAAACAGTTTAGAGGGTCCCTTAAACTAATGTAGTCACAGTTGTTACCGTATGATGAAAGTTTCATGAATAAGTTTAATATACTTTTACAAAAATTATTATTTCTCTCATCTTCATTTATTCACAATCATTTTAACAGAGTTAGGCATTTTTGTGTGCACAGCGAACACCCAGGGATGCTTCTATTGCTCTCCCTGGTCTCATGTCTGTGCTACATCGACTCTGGTCTTTACCTCTGCATTAGGAGAGTTTAATCTCTCCTACATGTATTCAGTTGATCAGGACAACAATTCTTTAAACTATCTTAGTTTGATCAGAGTGTGGATTATCCCACTTTTGTTCACTGAAAGTCTTGTTTTATCTGTTTAGGCAGCGTCGTACCTGGTGCAGGTGCATTTGAGGTCGCTGTGGCCGATGCGCTGGTTAAACACAAGCCGAATGTGAAAGGCAGAGCCCAGCTGGGAATTCAGGCATTTGCAGATGCTCTTCTAGTCATCCCCAAGGTGGTGCATTTTGATTTTCCTCACAGGCTTTAAGCTTTTGTTAACCTCACACTGAGATAGTAGTCCTTATGATGTGTCTGTCCCACGAAGTTAAACTTTTTGTTTTTTTTCTTGTTGTTTTTATCTGCAGGTCTTGGCCCAGAACTCTGGTTACGACCCACAGGAGACCCTGCTGAAGCTTCAGACAGAGTACACACAGTCTGGTCAGCTAGTTGGAGTCGATCTTAGTACAGGTACAAGTACTTTTGTTTTAAGTTAGAAATCAAAATGCAGTAAACCATTAAGCCTTGAACATACTCACCTCTGCACAGATGTCAAACAGTAAACTGGTGAAATCCTGAACTTGTTTGTACCAACATTTTTTTTTTTTTTTCAGGGGAACCAATGGTGGCGGGGGAAGCAGGTGTTTGGGATAATTACAGTGTGAAGAAACAGCTCCTTCATTCATGGTGAGATGCATTTCTAAATCATAACCAGTGGAATATATGCATAAATAAATACATGTTTTCAACCTTCTTCAATGTGTTTCTTTACAGCACGGTGATTGCCAGTAACATCTTGTTGGTAGATGAGATCATGCGAGCTGGAATGTCTTCTCTGAAAGGTTAAAGGTCAATTAGAGAGAGCGCAACTGTTATTGTACTCACAGGGACAGTTGTTCATCTGCCGGTTCAGTCAACGTGATCCTGCTTTCGGCACTCTAAAGCACCCGTCGATGGACAGCCTCCCAAGCAAACCCACGGCGCCCATCTCATCAGTCAGGAGTCATTGGTCTCCTGGTCATGTTTTATTTTTTCAGGAATTAGTCAATGCCTCCCTCTGAAATGATTGGTTTATTTATGAGATTTTGTTAAGTGCACTGACCGCTGCCACAGTTACGTTTCTACCCATTAAAGGCTTTCTTGGCGTCCAGAGAATTTGGATTTTTTTTTTTTATGTGTGGGGTGAATGGATTCACTCACTATAAAAGTGAATTTTGTTGCATTACATTTTATAAACCATCTGTAGATGGAGCTGTGGTACTTCAACAGTAATACATCTGTGGTGAAATGTAGCTAAAGTACATTCACAATTAAAAGTTGCATTTTTAGTTCCACTTGTGTTGAGATTGCATTTATAATAGTGAAAAACAAAAATGATTGATTAAAATTTTGTCTATTTTGTTGAGCAGCACATTTTTAGAGAGTGCCTCATAATTGTAGATCATAAACCTATTTTTTCCTAAATATTTCAGTGAAATACTAAATGTTCTATCAAAACATAGGTAAGGATGCCCCCTGGGTGTTACCCTAACCACTAGGGCAGGGCCATTCAACTGGGGGGTCAAATCAGACCCACCAATTGGGTCATTTTCAAATAAAACTAGGTTTTAAGCCATAAAACAAATAACTCTGATGTCTGGCCCCTGAGCTCTTGGCTTTCAGTAACTGACCTCCTGAGCAGTTTTGTTGAATAGCCCTGCCCTAGGGAGTTTCTCCGTGCATGTCCATCTGGGGGGGACATGCTGGAAAGAGTCCTGGGATGTCTTGGAATCCTCCCAGAAGAGGTCGCTGTGGAAAGATATGTCTGGGCCTTCCTGCTCAACCTGCACATAGATATCATATATGACTAGATACAGCATTGACCGCTATTGGCGCTGACGAGATTTAGGGCCGCCATCTTGAAACGGTCGACCGCTCCACTCAGTGTAACCTGTTTGACGGGAGCAATGAAGTCTTTGCGCGTTTATTAGTCAGAGCTGAATACTAAACTCATTCTCACGTTTTTTTCCTCTGTAAATCTTAGGAGTACAGCCATTAAAGCTGAACACATGGTTCAGTGTATTTAAATATTCTTGGTGGGGTTAACAATAACACTAATAAAATATTCTTATGACACGTTTG